AACTAAAAGGCTAATATTGGAATACTCGGATACTTGGATTAGTTGGATATATTGGATATATGGAAAATATACAACATATATACTACATGGAATATATAGTTTAATTTTAATCCATTTTTAATTTTAATCTCTTAATTTTAATCCATCTTCATATGACATTTAATCCATAAATTTTATTATATTTTAATAGGGTAAAAATTAAATGGAGGAGGAAATAGAGATGACCATTATGAAATTTGAGGAATAGTGTTACTGACTCTACCTATTTTCTATCAGCTTATCTCACATTCTTCTTTTTAATTAAGTTATAAAATTTTCAAGTGATTTTTCTACTTATGTTTTTAGGAACGTGTTATATGCAACCTACCATATCCATTTGGGTATAATAATTTTTTAAAGTCAATTCCATTATTGAATCCATACTTGACATTTGCCAGCCATTTCGCATAGATAACTCCGCTGTTTGTCCCATTATCGTTAATGTGATGAACTTCAGTGACAAATTCAGATGCCTACAAATTATTTAGGAATTTTAATTTGATATTAATCAAAATATGACAAACCTTACACATAGCCCATCAATTAGTTTTATTTAAGAGATTACCTTTAGTGCAGACGAAAAAAGGTTATCCATATACAATGGAAGTAGTTTTAGGAATCCACTTTTACATGCTGATTCCATTTCATATACCGTAAATGCTTGATGTGTAACGGCATTCAAAGAATGTGATAGGCTTTAAATAATCTATAGTTCTATTAATTTCATTAATTTTTAATTATTTAAAAGGTTTTCATTATATCTTAGTTTTAATAAGGTAAAGGTGATATTGTGTGTTCAATTAATCCCCCGTGTGTTCAATTAATCCCCTAAAACTCTGATATCCCAATTACACATTTTTATTTTATTAAATCAACGGGTACTGAACTGAGGAATATACAACGAGGGCTGAACCGTGCGGCTGAAACTTGCAGACTGAAACTTACGGACAAATGTACCGGAACTGACACATGCAGACTGAAATGAACTGCTCCGATATGTGTAAACTTTCAAGTCATGCATTTTCAATTTTAAAAATTGAGTACAAAACAGAGGTCTTGATTTCTAATCTTGATCTTGTCTTGATTTCTAATTTCTCCTTTGATTACAAAATGGTTAAAGGCAATTAATGGGCAAGGATTAAATTCATTGATAAAAATACGTCATGTTTCCGTTTGTTTTTAAAATAGTTTCAGATCAATAAATATTCTAAATCTTCCACAGAGTAAAAAAGCTGCAATTCGAATTAAGGTTATATGAGGTCTCGGTCCTCGCCAAGAACCTCGACGAGGAACGAGGCTAAATATACACCCCTAAAGAATCCTTTGTTGGCAGAAATGAGTAATATCGAAAATTATAACTCTCCTCTTCTTTTCTTCAATTTAATAAACACGAATACAAAATATAAATATCCTTTTTACTTTTCCTTTTCAAACAAAATAAATAAATGAACCAAAGAACAACAACGAACAACAACAACCCATGGGAGGGAAAATGGGGTTTACATTAAAAGAGGGGAGAGAGTAATTGGATGGGGTCAATAAAAGGGGAGAGAAACGAAAGAAAAACACATGCTATTTCTTTTTAGCATCACATCCCGCTCGCTTCAGATGACGGCGTCCTCGACGTCAGAAAAAGTTCTTCCATCTCGGTCTGTTTTCCGGAAAGGTCTTGGGTGGCGAGGTTATTCTTTTGTTGCTCTTAGTGTCAAAGTTGATCATAGGGTTCTCGAGGCCGACTCGATTTAAGGAACCCGATCGTCGATGAAAAGTTTCCAAATGGACTCCAATGGTGAGAAATTCGGTCACCGACACCGATTCTACCAGTCCTGATGCTTGCTTTCTTTTCCTTTTCTTCCAGTCTTTTTCAATTCCAACATCCTTTGAGTCACGGGTTACGTCTTGTTTTGTCGCCGGGACAAATTTCAAGACTTTCATAGGTTTCAAATCAAGTATTTGACGGTTCATTTCCTTCTTAAAATTCTCTGAAAGTTGAGGGACACTGATCAGCGTGACCAGATTTTCCGAGTTCAAACACCCCCGAACTCCGAGAAAAAATCGTCCCATGATTTTTCTTTTCAAAAATCCGCATACAGAATCTTTTCCAAAATCATTCCTTACAATTTCCTTCCTTAGAATCTCACATCTTATCTTTGCCAAAATTCTTGCTTCCTTCAATTTTAATCTTAACATCTTTCTTTTTTCAAAAATATTCACATTTTCTTCCAAAATCTCCAATTTGTCTCTTGTCGGGAGGATTTCCTTTTCAGGATCCTTCTCAAACACTTCCAATTTAAATTCCAAAATCCCTTGTTCATCATCTTTTTCTTCCATAATTTCTTTCAAATCAAAATCCTTTTTACCTAATTCTTCCAAATCACATTCTTCTCTTCCAAATTCATTCAAATCAACAAATTCTTCTACTTTTTCCAAATCAAAACATTCTTCACTTTCAGAACATACAATTTCTTCCTTAATTTCTTTATAAGAAACAAGAATATCTTCATAAGAGATTTCATGAAAAACGCAGCATTCTGCTCGAATAGGAACTTCAACAGATGCCAATTCTTGTTTTCCATCTAAGGGACATACAAGTTCTTTATCCAATTCACAAAATTGTTCTTTTCCAAAATCTTCCAATAACCCTATATCCAAATCTTTTTCAGAAATACCACTTTCCTCTTTAAATTTATTTTCAGCCTTTTCTTCAAATAAATTCATGGGAAGATCAAAATCAGCTTCCTTTTCAAAATCCACTAACAAATTCTTTTCCTTAATATCCTTCTTGATTTCCTTTTTGTGTAATTTCGTTGGGACCGAATTTTGCAATTCATCAACCAATTTAAATTCTTTTTCAACAATTGATGGTTCCTTTTCTTTTGGACATCCGAAAAATTCCAAAACTTCGGAAGGATAGGAAACATTTTCGAATGGAACGTTAATCTTGTTGAGCGATGGTTTTTGAAATTGGCTATTAAGTTTTCCCCTTTTTTCAAAATTTTCAAATTCGCTTTCGTCTTTGGCCGAATCTTGGTCGATTGGCTTTCCAAAAAATTCCAAAATTTCTTTTGAGAATTCTTCTCTTTCAAATTGAATGCTGACCTTATTTTTGAAAGATGGCGTCGGAATATTTTGCTGTTTGTGACTTTTCTCAGGCGTTTTCAAATTTTTCTTTTTCTGAGGGGAATTGGTTCGCAAAGAACAACCAGGAGAACTTTGGTGTTCCCCAAAATTTTTCTTTTGTTGAGGGGAACGGGTTTGCTTTTTAACTAAATCGATTGATTCCTCGACTTTGTACTCAGATGGAAGGAGTTGACAAAGGATGAAATTCTTAATCGATTTATAGTTGTAGTGCTTGGACTTGATTGCAAGAATGAAGTAACTTTTTGCCTTGCCATACAACTTGGATTTTAAAGCAAAAATCTTCTTTTTCTCTGACCAGTCGACTAGATATGCGTCGAATTTCTTGAAAAATTTCTTTATCGCAAAATTTCCTTCGGTTCCATCTAAATCGGGAATGGTTTCCAAAAGTAATTTTTCGATGTCAGCTAGAGAAGAATTTTCAGAAATGGAATTAGCATTCTGGTAATTTTGCTGAATCGATTGTGATGGATTGAATTGGTAGGGATACATCATTTGCTGGGAGAATGTAGTAGGGCATCCAAAGAAGAAATTTGGGACGCCATAATTTTGAATTTGCATTTGCCCTAGTTGATGGTTATTCGTGGGAAAATTCATCATAGGGTTGTAGGCTGTGAAAGGTTGAGGAAGAAAATATTGATTCGTGTTTTGTTGTGAAGATTGCATTTTTTTTTTTTTTTTGCTGAGCCGAACCAAATTCAAATTTTATCCACCGAGGCTAAAATTTGAAGTGATGAAAATTCAATCAACCCACCGAGGGAAAACTGAATAAGATTTTTTTTCAGAAAAAATCTCAAAAAAAGTTGTCAAACGAAAACTATTCCACCGGGGAATAACTTTTCAAAAAAATAAATATTTGTTGTTGTTGTTAAAAAAAATTTAATTCCTGGTCCACCGGGGGCCAGCGAAGATCAATAAAAAGTCAATTCGTAAATAAATTCTTTTTCACCACACAAAGAACAACCTCTGCCTCAGGAGCGCCACGTAGTAAATAAAAATAAAAACTCTCAGGAGCGCCAAGTAATACTCAAATTAGACTCTCTTCTTCCTTTTCAATCAATTTAAATAAACAAATACAAAATATAAACCTTTTTACTTTTCTTCTCAAAATAACAAAATAATATAAAGAAGGAACAACAACAACGAACAACAACAACCCATGGGAGGGAAAATGGGGTTTACATTAAAAGAGGGGAGAGAGTAATTGGATGGGGTCAATAAAAGGGGAGAGAAACGAAAGAAAAACACATGCTATTTCTTTTTAGCATCACATCCCGCTCGCTTCAGATGACGGCGTCCTCGACGTCAGAAAAAGTTCTTCCATCTCGGTCTGTTTTCCGGAAAGGTCTTGGGTGGCGAGGTTATTCTTTTGTTGCTCTTAGTGTCAAAGTTGATCATAGGGTTCTCGAGGCCGACTCGATTTAAGGAACCCGATCGTCGATGAAAAGTTTCCAAATGGACTCCAATGGTGAGAAATTCGGTCACCGACACCGATTCTACCAGTCCTGATGCTTGCTTTCTTTTCCTTTTCTTCCAGTCTTTTTCAATTCCAACATCCTTTGAGTCACGGGTTACGTCTTGTTTTGTCGCCGGGACAAATTTCAAGACTTTCATAGGTTTCAAATCAAGTATTTGACGGTTCATTTCCTTCTTAAAATTCTCTGAAAGTTGAGGGACACTGATCAGCGTGACCAGATTTTCCGAGTTCAAACACCCCCGAACTCCGAGAAAAAATCGTCCCATGATTTTTCTTTTCAAAAATCCGCATACAGAATCTTTTCCAAAATCATTCCTTACAATTTCCTTCCTTAGAATCTCACATCTTATCTTTGCCAAAATTCTTGCTTCCTTCAATTTTAATCTTAACATCTTTCTTTTTTCAAAAATATTCACATTTTCTTCCAAAATCTCCAATTTGTCTCTTGTCGGGAGGATTTCCTTTTCAGGATCCTTCTCAAACACTTCCAATTTAAATTCCAAAATCCCTTGTTCATCATCTTTTTCTTCCATAATTTCTTTCAAATCAAAATCCTTTTTACCTAATTCTTCCAAATCACATTCTTCTCTTCCAAATTCATTCAAATCAACAAATTCTTCTACTTTTTCCAAATCAAAACATTCTTCACTTTCAGAACATACAATTTCTTCCTTAATTTCTTTATAAGAAACAAGAATATCTTCATAAGAGATTTCATGAAAAACGCAGCATTCTGCTCGAATAGGAACTTCAACAGATGCCAATTCTTGTTTTCCATCTAAGGGACATACAAGTTCTTTATCCAATTCACAAAATTGTTCTTTTCCAAAATCTTCCAATAACCCTATATCCAAATCTTTTTCAGAAATACCACTTTCCTCTTTAAATTTATTTTCAGCCTTTTCTTCAAATAAATTCATGGGAAGATCAAAATCAGCTTCCTTTTCAAAATCCACTAACAAATTCTTTTCCTTAATATCCTTCTTGATTTCCTTTTTGTGTAATTTCGTTGGGACCGAATTTTGCAATTCATCAACCAATTTAAATTCTTTTTCAACAATTGATGGTTCCTTTTCTTTTGGACATCCGAAAAATTCCAAAACTTCGGAAGGATAGGAAACATTTTCGAATGGAACGTTAATCTTGTTGAGCGATGGTTTTTGAAATTGGCTATTAAGTTTTCCCCTTTTTTCAAAATTTTCAAATTCGCTTTCGTCTTTGGCCGAATCTTGGTCGATTGGCTTTCCAAAAAATTCCAAAATTTCTTTTGAGAATTCTTCTCTTTCAAATTGAATGCTGACCTTATTTTTGAAAGATGGCGTCGGAATATTTTGCTGTTTGTGACTTTTCTCAGGCGTTTTCAAATTTTTCTTTTTCTGAGGGGAATTGGTTCGCAAAGAACAACCAGGAGAACTTTGGTGTTCCCCAAAATTTTTCTTTTGTTGAGGGGAACGGGTTTGCTTTTTAACTAAATCGATTGATTCCTCGACTTTGTACTCAGATGGAAGGAGTTGACAAAGGATGAAATTCTTAATCGATTTATAGTTGTAGTGCTTGGACTTGATTGCAAGAATGAAGTAACTTTTTGCCTTGCCATACAACTTGGATTTTAAAGCAAAAATCTTCTTTTTCTCTGACCAGTCGACTAGATATGCGTCGAATTTCTTGAAAAATTTCTTTATCGCAAAATTTCCTTCGGTTCCATCTAAATCGGGAATGGTTTCCAAAAGTAATTTTTCGATGTCAGCTAGAGAAGAATTTTCAGAAATGGAATTAGCATTCTGGTAATTTTGCTGAATCGATTGTGATGGATTGAATTGGTAGGGATACATCATTTGCTGGGAGAATGTAGTAGGGCATCCAAAGAAGAAATTTGGGACGCCATAATTTTGAATTTGCATTTGCCCTAGTTGATGGTTATTCGTGGGAAAATTCATCATAGGGTTGTAGGCTGTGAAAGGTTGAGGAAGAAAATATTGATTCGTGTTTTGTTGTGAAGATTGCATTTTTTTTTTTTTTTTGCTGAGCCGAACCAAATTCAAATTTTATCCACCGAGGCTAAAATTTGAAGTGATGAAAATTCAATCAACCCACCGAGGGAAAACTGAATAAGATTTTTTTTCAGAAAAAATCTCAAAAAAAGTTGTCAAACGAAAACTATTCCACCGGGGAATAACTTTTCAAAAAAATAAATATTTGTTGTTGTTGTTAAAAAAAATTTAATTCCTGGTCCACCGGGGGCCAGCGAAGATCAATAAAAAGTCAATTCGTAAATAAATTCTTTTTCACCACACAAAGAACAACCTCTGCCTCAGGAGCGCCACGTAGTAAATAAAAATAAAAACTCTCAGGAGCGCCAAGTAATACTCAAATTAGACTCTCTTCTTCCTTTTCAATCAATTTAAATAAACAAATACAAAATATAAACCTTTTTACTTTTCTTCTCAAAATAACAAAATAATATAAAGAAGGAACAACAACAACGAACAACAACAACCCATGGGAGGGAAAATGGGGTTTACATTAAAAGAGGGGAGAGAGTAATTGGATGGGGTCAATAAAAGGGGAGAGAAACGAAAGAAAAACACATGCTATTTCTTTTTAGCATCACAAATGGAAGAAATCTGGCTTCGTAAAAAAGAAAGAAATCTAGCTTCTTGTCACGTTAAAAATCTAAAATTTTCGCCTGCGGCACCCCGCCGGAACCCCGCATCTAGAACCGGAACCCCGCATCACTGTTCGCTATGCAAAAGTATTTTATGAATATGGGGAGAATAAACAATTCTTAGTTCAACTTCACATGTTGTGAGAACAATCTCCCTAATAGAGTGATAGTTCCTCATTTTAGCGCCACAGGCGAAAATTTTAGATTTAAACGGGACAAGAAGCTAGATTTCTTCTTTTTTTTAAATTTTTGGAAGACTACGAAGCCAGATTTCTTCCATTTCTGCCAAAAAAGGCATTCTTTAAGGGTGAATATTTAGCCTCGTTCCTCGTCGAGGTTCTTGGCATTTTTTCTTGCCGTTCTTCTATTTCTTTGGTTCCGAGACCCGAGGCCGGTCAATCCGAGACCGAGATTGCAAAATGGGCGAGGACCTCGGCGAGGCCTCGACCTCATGCAAACCTAATTCGGATTGCAGCTTCTTCACTCTGTGAAGATTGAGAATATTTATTTTCTGAAAACACATTTAAAAACAAACGGAAAAATGACTCTGTTCTCATATTTTTTATCAATGAATTTAATCCTTGCCCATTAATTGCCTTTGACCATTTTGTAATCAAAGGAGAAATTAGAAATCAAGGCATGAGAAGGAAAGGAGAAGGAAAAAAGGGCAATAAGAGATGGACACGCCTATATAAAATCATACCTTCAATATTTGTAATCGCAATTCTCATTTTTGTTCTTTCGGAAAAATAAACAGTAAATTTGATCCCATTATAGATGTTTATTTACATACTTTTAAATCCTAAAATACACATGATTAATTTTAAATTGACAAAATAGCGCCCTATTTCCTTTTCAAAATAAACCATAATGATTTAATTAAATATCGGAGATTTTTACATACTAGTAATATTTTAGAATATTTATTAAAATATTATTAAAAACAAAAAAAATTTTTAACCTTTAGAAATAGACTAGAAATTTTATGTGATATGAAATGTATATTTTTTATAAAAAATTAAATATTAAAATCTTTTTAATCCCTGACAAATGAGATCAAATCCTATTTTTTATTTTTTAACTTCCTAATTTTTATGGCTTTTGTACTGACATGTACTATTTTGGATTTTAGAAATATTCTTGCTTTTTATGTTTTTATAAGGTAAAGGTCGATTAAAATCGCCGATTCAAATCGAAAGAGCTATCATTTGCATATACGAAATTCGGTTAGGGATTCGAAATTCGGTTCGGATTCTGGATTCGACTTTTTCAAAATCTGAGCTAATTTTCGTAATCAGCATATTTTTTACTAGAGTTAGAAATTTTCAAAATGCCGGGCCCGGGACTCGGGTTTTTCTCAAAATCGCACCCGGACCGGTTTTTCCGGATAAAACTGGAAAAACCGGTTAGCCAGGAAAAACCGGCTTTTTCAGACCCGGGCCCGGACCCGGTTTTTTCTAAATTTATTAAAAACATAAAAAAAATTATTTATTCAAAAAATATTATTTGCAATTAAAAAAACTGCATTCATAATTTATTTGTGGTAGTGCAAAAGAGAATGTGAAGCAAGGAGGATATAAGGGGGCTTCCTTCTGCGCCGCAGGATTTTTGACCTACAACCTTTCTCTCTCTCCGTTTATATTTTTGATTATAGTTTGGCTTGCATTTTTGGGAATTATTAGGTCGGGTCATAATTAGTGTCGCTTTTTTTCGATTAAATTTTTAGGGGTGTTATTTTACAAATATTTTTTTTTCTTTTAACCAACATAAAGATCTGAATCTACTCTTCATTTTAATACCAGGTTTGGTATATATGAGTGATATTCATAAAGTTATGATTTTTTGAACTTCGCTCCCTCGTAGTAAAATTCTCAAGCATTTGCACCATGAATTATAAATTACCAAAAATGTACACAAGAAGAAAAAAATCATAATGATCAAGTCAAAGGGATCGTTGTCTATGCTAGACAGCAAGAATAGGGTTCAGGCTTTATGATGGAGGCTGTATGACTCTCAGAAGCAAACATGGTCGAGGAATACGGGTGTCATTAAGAATAACGGTCCTGCTCGGCCAGCTTAGATGAAATCCTTTCTACCGCTGAATTATCGAGGGATATCTGCTCTATACATAAAGCAACGCTTGACTGAAAAAACGCGGGCTGCGCTTAAGGAGAGTAAAACAAATGCCGCGTGTACTCACATTTCAAACTGATAGAGCATTGCCCTACTGATAAAGCATTTGAAGAGCTTTCGAATGATATATCACACTAACTATTATCATTACGTATACTTGAGAAAATTTGATTCCCGATGATTTCGGGAATTTTGATATTTTCGACCATAACTCCCTGAATACCTAACGAAAAATTCTCAAATGCTGGGATCCTTTAGAGCATAGTCTAACAGATGATTCGTAATAAAAATAAAAAAAATTTTCAGAAAACTTAATTTTAAAAATCCAAAAAATCCAAATAAAAAAAGTGACCTTATGTATTTTCAAGTTAGGAAATGTTTTCTATTATGTACTAACAAAGTAGAAATTTCCAAAAAAATAATTTTTATATTTTTTAATTATGTACCTTTTTAATTAAAAAGTTTAAATTCTCCAGAGTTTTGTATAATTAAATTAAATTTATTAACTTAAAAAATCCTAAAACATGACTCAAGAGGGATTTATCATCAAATTCTGATTGGATTTTGATTGAAAAGAGAAAAACTATTTAATTAACCTTCAAACTAATTTTAACTGCCTTTAATGTTTGAAACTAGTCATTGTAAAATAAAAAAAGGGGAAACGAAAACACAAAATGTAAAAAATAAATTAAAAACATTGTCAAAATTTATTCCCAATTACTATTTTGTAAGAACATATTTAATTTTAATTAAAAATATTGGTGAGATCGAAAACAGCAGAATTAGAACTTAAAAAATAAGCTATATAATTTTTACTAATACTCAAATTATAATACAAGCAAAATTGAAAAGAATCTAAGTGATGAGAAAATACAAAAAATTATATAAAATATTTGCGAATTCTATAAAATTAAAACGATTTTCGGAGACCTTCCAGGTCCTTCTCAGTTGCCCACAGATTCTGTAACTTCACAACTTCAAACTTAAATTGAAAAAAAATCGAAAAAATAAATTCTTTTATGAAAATACAAAATTAATGTTAATAATAATTAAAATATATGTTACTAATTATAAAGGAAAGAATAAACACAATTCCTTTAAACTTGTGTAGATTGTAATTGTTGTCTAATACTTTTAATACTACCATCTTCATCACCCAAAACTGTATTTATGCTTATACTTCCTTCTCTTTGTTTGTTACTAGCAGCGAATAAACGATCAACTTTTCGTCGTTGTTTTCTTTAAAAAAATATTTTAAATTGTAATTATGTAATATTTAGATAAAATTTAAATCTCCTTATGAAATACACTTATAAAAACTTTTTAATTTGGATGACCGATGGGTTTAGATGGCAGCTGTTTAGGTGATACCTCTTATTTGATACATTTCATTATAAGATACGATTTTTCAATCCCAAGGGTTGTCTTATAATGAAATCTGAGTTTAGTTTTGTGTAAAAGGAAGTTCAGAATTAATAAACTCCTCTACCCTAACACCTTCCTTCCTAGTTAATTATCCCTTCAAGCAAAAGAAATAAAAAACTCACTCAAATTCATTCCCAACTCCACTAGCTCCAACTCCAAGATGAGATGTTTTAATCATTGTATAAGAACGTCTATTCTTAATATCTCGTTGTTCAATAAATGAAGGAAATCTTTCTTTTACAGCATTTGATGAAGGGGTAATACTAATATTAAGTTGTTGTTGTTGATTATTTAAATCAATATTGTCTATATATTCAGAAGTAGAAACAACACGACGATTTTGGAGCTGTTGTTGTTGTTGGGGAGTTGTGTGTATACGTACTGGGGTAGATTTCATTGCTATAAAATGAAAAAAAATTCAAGTTTTTCCCGTGTTTCAAATTAAAAATATCCCGAAATACAGAAAACTGATTTTTAAATTACTGGCTTTTCCACAAATCTGTCCTGAAAAAAATACTCGGTTAATTTACACCCCTCCCCAAGAAATTGACCCTTCCATAGATGGATTGAAACAATAATTGACCATTTGAATTAATCGAATAAGTAAAGTACTTTTTAAAAATAATTTAAATTATTACACACCAATATAAGAATGAACAAGTGAACGGAATTTATTGCTAGCTGGATGTCTTGAAGTTTGTCCTGTACTATCTTAAGATAAAAAAAAATTAATGTAAACTAAAAAATGCCCCTTGTTTTCTTTTAAATTGTAAATGGCAGAAAATCCAGTCAGCTTATTCTTATTCTAATTAAGGGGGATACATTAATTCAATTATAGTTTACCGAAAGGTAAATTTCAAAAAATTAAAATAATTTCTATTATAGTAAATAAATCGAAAAACTTTACAAGTCTAATTTATTTAAAAATACCTTGTACTCTTCTAAAAACAATTGTAGAAATATATGAAGTAAAACGATTTGCATAAAAACCAGGATTTGTAACAGAAATAGTTTCCTTTGAAAAATTAATTTTTTAACAAATTAAAATTTAAGAAAAACCCCATCATGCAAAACACTTTTAAATGTATGTTCTAATTTTTTAAATAGCCGATAATTTTGTAAAATATCGATTATTCCAAGGTAGAGGAGTAGACGTTCACCTTTTGCATTTTTTGCAGGCACTCCACCATCACTAAAATTTTAGAGATTGAAAAGTTAAGAAAATTTTTAAAAAGAATTTATTTTATTGTGAAAGCTAGATTGATGTACATAAATTTTTAATTTATTTTTGAAGTTTGCTAAATTAAAATTTAAAGAATGTAGAAAATATATAAGAAAGCCCCCTGGATACGCCCTCGGTCTCAAGTACAAGAATAAAGCAGCTAGGAGAAAATAAGAACCGAAACACATAAAAGATGAATGAAGAGAAAAATATTAGAGAAATTTAAATCTTAAAAAATTCCCCTTTCAGTTTAAGTTATTTTAAAAACAAATAACATTTTTATCTCCTAGAACGGAACAGATAAATAACATTTAAAAATTAAGAAAAAATAATTTACTCCTGTGGTCCTCTAGTAGTACTATAATCCAATTGTAGAGAACGCCAAGTTTCTGCAATCGCTGCTTCTTCAGCATCCCAAGCAGCAGGTAATCTATTATGATTTGAAGCATGTTGTTGTGCATCTATATTATGTACTCCCATTAACATACTATAATCCATAATTTTGAAACTTTCCAAAACAAAACAATCTCTTTTAATTACATCAACAAGAATATCGTAAATATGTGCATCCAGCCTTTAAAAATTTATTAAATATTTTTACGTTAGTTTGTCAAAAAAGATAACTTTTAAGAAAAAAAACACTCCTTACAAACACCAGAAACAAAAATTTTCAGATTTTTATAAATCCAAGATTTTATAAATTTTTATAAATCCTAAAATAAAATGTAAAAGGGAGGGAAGATCCAGTTAGATAGCTTTTTAAATACTTGAGCAATATTTAAGATCTGAAATTAGTAAGTGAAGCGAGTAGCAATAACTGCCAAAAGGTCGCAGGCATGATTATTGCCCATGGGTAACTTATGCTTATTTAACCTTTACTATTGAATTTGAAGTGAAAAAATAAAAGCACTTAAACACCATTACAACAAAATTGAAAACATTGTTTCTTCCTATAAAAAAATCTAAAACTGCCTACTAAAAAATATAAATTAAAAACAAACATAATTCCATCAGTAAATTCAGCATTAAAATCCAAATCTTTTAAAGTTGGACTACGCTTTTCCCTTTCACTTTTTGATGCATGTCTTTTATATGTCGAACCTTTCAGATCAAATTTATGGTGCATTTCAACTGATTGAGGTAATAAATTGTTCATAACTAATAAACGAATATTCTTTCCAAGACTCTAAAAAATAAGAAAAAATTAACATTAAATAAAACAAGGCTAATGTAAGTATATCCAAAAAACGATTAAATTTATTTTCATTGTATGAAATTTTAAATTTCTAGAAAAAAATCGCTTTGAGAAAATCTCTTTATAACAAATGCTTGAAAAATATGTCCAAAATAAATAACTTTTATCGGATTTTAAAAAATTTTCCTGAAATTAAAAAAAACCTGATAACAAAAAAGACCAAAAAATTTAGGTAGCAAAGTTCGAGGATTTTGATGCAAATTCATATAATAACCAGGAAGTAATTTTCTTAAAAATTCAGCTTCTTTGTGTTGAACAGTTTTTATTATAAATTTATCATCAGTTGAAACATAGAAAATTGAACCACTGGCACCTGGATTGCTTAATTCTCGTAGAGGTAATGTACACAGAGATTTCTTTAAAAAATAAATTTTTGTTTGATAATTGAAGAAAAAAATAAAACCAAAAAATCGGCAGGTTTAATGTTAAAAAGCTCGCGAAAATATCGAAAGGCAATTGGTGCATAAGATTTGAAACGGAAATCGCCATATTGATGTGATGGTGTCATTTGAGAGCCATCACTAAAATTAAAAAATTTCATATAAAACTTAATTTAATTAAAAAGGACTCTAATTAAAAATGGCTAAAAGGCGTTAAAAGCCCTAAAAAATAATGGGAGAATGGGAGACGAAAAAATTGAAAGTTCGAGCCCCAGATTCCGCAAAAAGTCAAAAATACAAGCACCAAACCCAAACAATCAAAAAAAAATAAAAAAAACAAACGTAGGAAAAGTCACAGATTCGATAACCTCAAAATCTTGTACCAAAATATCTCTTCGAGGTTTTCCAGCTAAAGAACCAACAGAATTTGCAATTCCCAATTGTATTGCACCCATTAAAGCATTTGTAGGTACTCTTTTATAACTAACTTCTCCTTGTTTGTCTATTCGCCTATGTCCAATTTTATTCCCACTTTTGCCTGGCGTTGAAGATGATGACTGTATTGCTTGTTGAGGAGAGAGATAATCATCTTTTTTGTGCGATAAATTTGTTAAACCGCCATCATAACTTGAAGGATCGGAAAATGTTATGTCAGACATTCTTATTTCGTCGGCCATTGGTATATTATCTTTAAGAAAATTGGTTGATAATAATAAACGACGAGATAACTTAAAGTAACAAAAAACAATCCTATAGGACATGTCATAAAGTAAAAAATGAATCTCGGGCAAGACTAGTCGACAAAAAAGAAGTGTAACAACAAAACCGAGAGAATTAATGTGGATCATTTTTTACCCGAATTATCGCCAACCCTAATAAAGAATCATACTTAAGAAAATTGAATGAATCCGGAACCGCTAAAGAATGCGGAACGTAAAATATTCGCATTTTGTATTATAAAAAATGGCGTAAACCGTCCAAATCAGCATAAAATCGGGCAATAAAAATAAAAGAATATCTCCACAACCCAATTAAAATTTTAATAATACCTTCTTTATGCCTTAAGATAGCTTTCACATCGTTCGAAGAATCAAATGCTGCCATTCGCATATGTAGCCCTAAAATTCCATTTAAAAAATTATATGAAATTAAAATATGAAAAAATTATTGTTTTTAATAAACAAAAATGAAAAAAAATTACTGAAATACGATAATTTTATTTAGAAAAATTAAAACAAATTGAATGAATCAATTACTATAATGCCTCTTTATTTTAATTATCAGGCTTTCCACCACGTCTCAGCTTCGGCCCGCCACTTTTGAAACGCTTAGTTTCTGGTTTTTGAGCTGATTTTGGACTAAAAGAATTGAAAAATAAATTTTTAGATATTTCTAATTAAATTGAAAGTTGGTAATATTGAAGAGTACAGACCCCATTTTTTCCTCTTTATTTTTCCCCCTATATTTTTACAAAATGGTCAGACTTTTTCCTTCCTTCCATCCAATCTGCCTTTCTAATTTTTGCCTAAATCAAACAAAAAGGATTATTTTTTGGTATTTTATTTCCCGTTTTAATAGAGAAAATGAGTCTTCTCAATACTCATACTTGTTAAATACCAAAAAATAATCCTTCTTGTTTGATTTAGGCAAAAATTAAAAAGGCAAATTGGATGGAAGGAAGTAAAAGTCTGACCATTTTTTAAAAATATAGGGGGAAAAATAAAGGGGAAAAAATGGGGTCTGTACTCTTCAATATTACCTGAAAGTTTAATGAAAATAATTGAAGGAATGTTTATAATAAAAAATAACTACTAATAAAAAGAAATACCCTTCAACTCCACTCCAAAATTTGCGTTGAACAGTAGAATCATCAGCACAAGTAAATAATTGTTTAATGTTCTCCACTTCATCGGTAATACGCTTCTCATTAGCACTAAATTCAGCCACAAATTTGTTGGCACTGAAAATGAGAGTTTATTTGAACTAGGTATTAGGTTTTAAATCAAAAATTCCATTCCTAATTTTCAAAAAAGTTTAAGCACAGAAAATTTCTGAAAATAAGTGTTTTATGAAATCCACCACCCTCTAAAATTATCTACCCAAAATTTCGTTAATTTAAAGCCATACCCATCAACTTGTCCAGACAACAAATTCACAAAATCCCCACAACGCTTACTCCATTCCTCCAATGTTTGAGTCATAAAATCCATATCAAGATTCTCAACACACGAAGCTTTCCAATCAATTACTTCCAAACAATGATTAACTGCGTTAAGTTTTCCCTCAAAAGTTCATTTTAAAAAATCAAAATTTAAAATAAAAACCTTAATAATTCCTTGATAAATAGCTTGAATAATAAAATCTTCAAGTTCTCTCTCATTTCCAATTCCAAGCGAAGTCATTAATAAATCATATGGAACTACACGATTTTTTGAAGCAATCGAAACAAGAATTCCATATTGTGCTGCTGAACTTGTTAAAGTCATATTTTAAAATTTCTTTAAAAAAATTAAATCTAAAAATAAAAAGATGATTGAAATAAACTGAAAAAACTAGAAAAACTTAAAACAGAAAAACTGGGTGAGACTAAAATGACACATGTTAGATCAGACTCAAATAGAGGTCGGCAATAGAGGTCGATACGGGATCCCGCGGGATTAATCCCGTAAATCCCGTAATCCCGTTCGTCGCTAAAAATACGGGATTTCCCCGTACGGGATCCTGTCCCGTGCGGTTAAGGACGATTCAGTATAGCCGATTCAGTATAGCCGATTCAGTATCCGCCGATTCAGTATATGGCCATAACTTTCCTGATATTCGACCGATTTGAATAATTCTCATATCATTCGAAAGGTCTCAAGATTCGACATCTTTTTCATAATTGGCCCGGTCTGATCTGATGATCTCAAAAAAAGTTACAGCGTGAAAACCGATTCTTTATGCCTGTGACGTCGTTTATCAGTGATAACTTTTTGTAGTGATAAGATCAGGTCAGTCCACTTATGAAAAAGATGCAGCACCCCGAGGCCTATCAAATCATATATAATAATTCCCACAATATTGATCAAGCAAAAAGTTATGGCCAAAAAAGCCAAATACTGAATCGGCCAATACTGAATCGGCGATACTGAATCGTCCCCTACCCTGTCCCGTGCCGAGCTCTAGACTCAAATACGCAAAAATTAATTTGGCAAAATGTATTTTTTGTGCCAAAGGCCAAAATTTAAATTTTTCGACTTTTCTTTTCGCAAAAAAATTTTTTTAGTGTTTGTCAAATTTTTTATTTTCTTTTTGTTTTTAAGATTTCTTCAAATATTTTACTTTAATTAATCATGACGACAGTTGAAACTGATGGAATGTTAAGTATTTTTGTTCGCGCCTATGAAAAACGTGGAGAGGGGATAAATGCATTTATTGCTTATAAAATTGAGACTAAAGTATTTTAATTTTTCTTTTCAAGATTTACTGCAAATCTATAGATTTCTAACATTCCTGGTTATACAAAAAATCATTTTGAAGTTTGGCGACGTTTTAGTGACTTTCTTGGATTACGTGAGAAATTGGCAATTAAATATCAACATAAAGGGGTTATTGTTCCTTATACGCCAGAAAAAAGTATTACTTCTTTGACCAAAACAAAACTTACGACTGGAGAGGAGCACAGGTTTTTTAATAACGAAGTTTGGATTATTGGGTTGAGGGTTTCAGATTGCTGTAGTCCCTAGGATCTTGAAATCCTTACGCGATTTAAATATTTTTGCCTTTGATTGCCTATGTCGACTACTCAATTTTACTTTGGAATTTTCCTAATTGAAGCATTTTCCCTCCCCGTCCTTTTTTTGCCTTTGCGTGTCTAATTATTAATAGTTTTTGTTTAATGATTTAATATATTTTTAATTTTAAAGCGAAGCAACAGACAGACGTTCTCGATTGTTGGAACGTTTTTTGCGTCGACTAGTGTTACAGCCTCAATTGATTAATGATGAGGACCTACGTGAATTTCTGTCTTCTGAGGGCGACTTGCCTAAAGCTAATTTTACTTCGACTTTTAGTGGGAGCAGTGTTCTGAAGGTTTTAATATTTAACTGAATTTTTGGAATATACCTTTGTCCTCACAAAGTTTGATTATTACCTGATACGGGAAAAATCATGAAATCTTGTTAAATCAGCATTTCTAAAATAACCAAAATTTTGCTTTTTGGTTTATTCTAATATTAAATCAATTTTTTTAGATTTTCAAGTCAGTCGGCGATGCTTTCACGAGAATTGCTTTTCCGATGGATGAAAATGATCGATGGTATTTTTTATTTTGTTAACAAGGAGGTATCCAAAGGTTTTTGTGCAAAGTAAACATTAAAGACTTTGTGGCCTCCCGAAATTCGACCTCTAGAAATTTGTGGGCATTTCCTAAAGAATAATGAAATCACTCCATAATTATTTTATTAATATGTAAGAAATATAGGAATGGGTAACCAATAATCATAAACAAAATGGATATGTAAGGTCAGGCCCGTAGCCAAAATTTTTTTTCGGGGGGGGGGGGGGGGGCAAGGGGGGAAAATTTTTTGGCGCCGAAGGCGCCAAAAATTTTTATTTTCAGCGCCGCAGGCGAAAATTTTGAGAATTTTAGAAGGCCGTAGGCCAAAAAAATTCACTTTTTTTGCCCCAGCCCTTCCCCAAATTTTTTCCTTTTTCCCATTTCGGGGGGGGGGGGGAATTCCCCCCCCCTACCCCCCCCCCTGGCTACGGGCCTGTGTAAGGTCTATTTGTTATTTACTAGGTTTGAACAAGCTCATAGTCAAGTGGAGGAATTGGAAGAATTATTGACTCGTCTTCAAACACATATGGATAATTTGGTTGGTTATCGAAAAGAGCTGTCAATTGCTGATGAACAATTAAATAAAACTATTAATTTGCTTGCCTCTTCTGAAGAAAATACTGGATTGGCTCGAATCCTCTCCCGTTTGGCTGAAACACAAGAAAAATTGGCTGTAGTGGAGAAACATGAATCTGAACAGGATGCTCAACAACTGGCTGAAAGTTTTCAAGTAGGAAATTTTAATTTAAGGATGGGATGTGGACCTGCAAAGTAAAATTAGAGGGCCTGTCCGCTAATTTTTAAATTTACTCTTGATTTTTAATAGAATTAATGTTTTTAATTTTAACAATTAATTTATTATTAAATAGGAACAACTACAATTATTGTCTGTTTTGAAGGAAGTATTTTATGAACGTGTTAGGGGCTGGCAAAATTGGCAAAGTCAACAACAAATTTTAACAAAGAAGCGGGAAACTAAGACGAGAATGTATTTTTATAATTCAAATCATTCTTAAAAATTTTATATTTATTTTTAAAGGGAATTAGCTGGGCGAGGTGAATGTGTTGCACAATGCCGAGAGGATCTCCGAAATTCTGAGAGTATGGCTGACCAAATGGAAAAAGATTTTTTGTTGATTAGCAAAGTAAATTTTGGTTTTAAATTTTACAAGTTGAAAATCTTTAAATTTTTGGAGGTGATATTTAGATTTCGTTTGTCCTTGATATAAATAATTTTTTGTTTATTTCGGTTCCTCTGGATTCGGTTCCTCTAATTATTACATTCATACCCAAACCTTATTCGGAAAATGTAAGCTTCATAACAGGCCCGTAACCAGGGGGGGGGTGAGGGGGGGAATTCCCCCCCCCCCCCGAAATGGGAAAAAGGAAAAAATTTGGGGAAGGGCTGGGGCAAAATAAGTGAATTTTTTGGCCTACGGCCTCTGAAATTTAAAAAATTTTCGCCTGCGGCGCTAAAAAAGGACGAAATCTGGCTTCTTGAGGTCCAAAATTCAAAAAATTTTCGCCTGCGGCGCTGAAAATAAAAATTTTTGGCGCCTTCGGCGCCAAAAATTTGACGCAAAAAATTTCCCCCCCCCCCCCCGAAAAAAAATCCTAGTTACGGGCCTGCTTCATAACGTCATTCCTTTTTAAGTCCACTAAATATATTCATGAGGAATAGATTTTAGCTGTTTTCTTCCCGTTTTATTTCGGCAAAACGGTTGAGGGATTACGTTACTATATTGGGGTCTAATGTATTTTAAATCTAAAATATTTTTTAATTATCTTAACAGACAATTCGTGAGGAATATGTACGTCAGGCAAAACAACGTCGTGAGGATTTGAAGCAAACCATTATTGGTTATTTGGAGGGATTACTTGAGAGTGAACAACATACACTTGAGCATTGGGAACGATATGCTGAAGTAGCTAAAGTTTAATGGTTTTTGGTGATATAAAATATGAAGGCAAAATTGACTCAAAATTTTAAAATAATTCCAAATGACTTTATACCGGTAAAATTTTCTAATTTATTTATTATAAATCTCGTTGACTTGAAAATTGTTTTTTATTTATAAATAAATATTATCAATAAATTTCAAACGTTTTTTAACTTTCAGTCATTGAAACTGCTATATCTTAGGGTGCACTCTAACCTAGTGATTAACAGAATAACATAAGAATAGATTAACACGTTTATCCAATAGTTAATACAAAAATAAGTGACGAAAGTCGAGAATGACTAAGGACAGGCGGGGACGGTCGGCCTAGGTGCCAATCAAGACTGATCTCTAATGCCTGTTTTTATACTAAACCTTCACTAACAGGAACCTAAATCAGAAACTTACATAGCAAAAGGATTTAAACGGGTATTTCAAACAAAAGTATAATTTATCGGACATAACGCCAAGTAACAAGCTATTGCTTAATTTATTTTTTCTTTATCCAATGTCTTATTTATAAGTGCTGTTTTTCAATTCCATCCAGATTTTGGTTACTGACTGTGCAATTTCATATCTCGGCTTAACATTTAAAATTCGATATTATCGAATAATATTAAGGAAAATATTCAATCTAATTTAAAACTGAATTTCGTAGTTTTGAAGAATAAATAAAAATAAAAATCTTGTAAGATTTTCTTGGCCGGAAATTACTTCCTTCTTCGTCATCTCTACTATAGTTCTACTAAATTTTATTTGTTAAAGTTTTATAGCAAATAAAAATGATTGGAGGTGAACTTTTCTCCAATTCTGATGAGGAAGAGCTTGATTTGGAAATTAATCAGGTTTTTTTGTTAAAATATTCTTTTTTGGATTTTTAAAGAGCAAAAATGATGGTGATAAAGTAAATCAATTATTAATTTCGCCATCTAAAAAATCTGAAGGAGAATCATCACAGGTATCACCACTACAAAAAGAAGATGCAGCAAACCTGGTAATTTTGATTTTTTTAAATTTCTGTTGAAAATCTTGAAATTTAAGGTTCAGCCACATTTATTTAATACGCCTAAAGATAACTCACAACAGAAACAGCCAATATCTAGCGAGGATGATAACTTTACAAACGTGCTAGCTAATGGTCAAATTTGTATATTTGTTCGTGCCTATGAAAAACGTGGAGAGGGGATAAATGCATTTATTGCTTATAAAATTGAGACTAAAGTATTTTA